CCTTTACAGCAACTGTTGCAAATGCTACATCCCACAGTCTTATCACCAGGGATCCTGGTTTTCTGATTTAAAAAAAATCACAAATTCTCTTACAAAAATGTTGCAAATTCTGATAAACCCTCCCAGATCCATTATTAAAATTAGAAGGCCCCCCAGACCTGCTGGTGCCCCTCACTCACCCCCACAACAGGCTGCCCTGTCTTACTCATGCCTGTTGCTCCCCACCCACAGCCTATGCCCCCCAACCCTACTGGAAGGCCCCCACAGATGCCAGGACTATGGGGCCAGGGACCCAAGTGTGCCGCTTCCCCAGGCTGCTGCCTGCTTGGGCAGGGGCAGGGCTGGCTCCTGACTCCCCCCCCAACCCTGTCGGTGTCCCCAGCCATGACCCCCAGCCCCCCAGTCCTGTCAGTGGATCCCCCAGCCCCCTGCAAGCCCTACTTACCTCACAGGCTCCAGGAGCAAAGTGAGGCTGAGCTGAGCCCAGCAGAGCTGTGGCTGACCGAGAGCCTCAGGACTCACCCTTCCCTCTCCCACTCTGGGCAGGGTTGAGGGTTTTCCACCCTGTTTGCAGTTAGCTCTTGTAGGCTGGAGCTCAACCAGCCTGCAGGGCTCTTTGCAAAAGTGGGAAATCTGTGGGTTTATCTGATAAAAAGGGGAAAACTGTGGTTTTCTCCATTTTTCCATGGGAAACATAAAACTCAGATCCCTGCTTATCACCTTGGTGTCACTTTAATTTTATTGTTCTTTATTTTTCATAATATGACAATGTCTTCTGGCTCAACCAAAACCAAAGACCCATTATGCTAGGCTCTACTATGATAGACAGTAAGTCCTTCTGGAAACACAGAGTGTCCAGGAAGTGTGGCATCTGAGGAGACAGTCTAGGTGAGACCAGCAGGAACTTCCATGTTGCAGAACAGGAACAAGCCAGCCACAAGATCCTTGCAAAAGCAGTAGCTATAACTGCTACATCATACAGTAAAGAGTTGTGCATATAATTTCCTGTATATAAGAAAGAATTGCCTATGTACCACAAGCCTCATCAAGATACCACAGGTTAGTACAGACAGTTCAAGAGACAGTTCTTGTCAGTAAAGGTTAACAGTCCAGTAAAAAAGGCTGATGAAGGATGAAAGAAAAGAAGTCTTCCTGATCCAGGTTCACAAGCGGAGAACTAGGGCCCAAAGACATTGAGTTACTTTTCAAGGTCACAGGAAATCCATTGCAGAGCTCGTAACTGAATGCAAATCTGAATTCCAGCCCATCTCTTTAATTATAAAATCATCTTATCCTCAACTCCTCTCTCCTGTTCCACCCAGCCACTTACACTGATGCTGTTACTAAAACCTTTCACAACATCTCCAGAATCTGTCTGTTCCTGCCTGCATTTATTTTTCTAATTTCTGGTTTTAGTCCCTTTTTTTTGGCTCCCATTCCTATGTCCCACTCACCAGAAGTCTTCAAGCTGCTTGGGTTGGAAGCTGTGCCATGTAATGTTCTCTACCCCTTCTGCTTTTTTCCTTAGTTCCTCCTCCCACTCGCAGTATACTGACTAATTCTGGTAAACTCTGAAGTGTGAAATTTAATAATCTTGGCAAATTTATAGAATCTAGAATGACTGCATGTGCAATTAGACACATAACTAGGTAATCCTTTCAAAGGCTTACTAAATTATCTTTCTAAAAAATACCTCATGGCAATGAATTTTACAGGTTAACTGTACACATGTGAAAAGGAAATTCCCAATACCAATTTAAAATGTTCTTCCTTTCGTTCTTAAGTGCCTTTTAATATATATATGCATTGTGGGAAAAGCTAAATTGTAGACTCCAATTAACCTTCTTTATGCACTATATAGAGGTGTATATGAATTACATATTATATTATATATATATATATATATATAAATAGTTCAATTATATTTATGTCTTCCTTTTTTACATAAATATGAAATAAATAAAAAAGACCAGTCAATCCCTACTTTTTAACTTTCATGTTAGTCCATTCTCAAAACTGAGTTTTTTACATCCTAAAAAAATCAATACAAATAAGGCAAAAGAAAAAATATCAAAACTATGTACAAAATAGACGGTGATATATTATTGTTCTACAATATTATTTAAGGTAGCCTTACAGCATTCATTTTTTTTACTTTCAATCCTTTTATTTTATTGTTCTTTTTCATCCCTTTGGTTTTCAATTCATAGTTAGTTTAGACTTGCTGTCTCTGTACTTTTGACTCGTATTGTTCCTATTTATTCTGACATTTCTTATTCTTTCTTTTTTATTATAGTCTCTTATTGCTTTATCACTTGTCCGTTTGTTAGATTCCACCCTCCATTTATGTTTGGCCTCTTTTATTCAACATTCAACTGTTATTATTTTGTTATGAGAAAATTCCAATATAGGAGAATTACTTACCCTACAGTATTTGTGCTTCTTCATGATGTTGCTTGCACTGTGCATCCCAAAGAAGGCACAGTGTGGATCTCACTGTAGGTGGTTGGCATGCAGTATCTCCTCAGAGTGGTGTGAATAAGGAATTCCAGATGTATAAGACAAAGACTGATTATAATACAGCTCTCCCAAACTCACCATCTGACCTATTAGCTTAGTCAAAGACACAGTGCAAATGCTTGCATCATTTACTGTTTTCCTGATCTCTGGAGCTGGTATATGTCTGAAGCAAGAGGCCTATGCTGAGGTCCCAATCAGGATGGGTTTCTGTGGAAAATGTGAAAGTATGAAATAAGAAACAACAATTCACAAACCAAGAGAACACTGTGCATGACTACAAAGGCAGATGGCAAGCTGAAATTTCTGTGAAATGGATTTTAAATGGAACTGAGTGAGAAACAGTATAGGTAAGAGGTTAAGGCTCTTATAGGCTCCCAGGTCCCTCTGGTAAATATTTTCCTGCTTTGTGATGCTTAATGTGGATAAGCAGTCTTTATCCATGGTATGTACAGCTAGCAAACACTTTTAGATCAGTGATTTTGGGTCTGGAGTATTTGGTCAGGATGGTGTAAGATCAAGTCTAAGTGATGTAACAGTTGGATTAGAGGCTGAATGGATATCCAGAGTGGCTAAGTACAGACAGTCAAAAATCCAAAGACTGAATCAATTCAATTTTTGCAGGTTAGTTTAAGCTGTGTAGACAGAACCAATAAGCAAGTGAACAGACATTCAGTTTTGATTCCAGAAATGCAGCCACATGCCTTCAGTGGCTCAGGCCAGAAGCTGGCCAGAAGCATGTTTTAGCACCCCACTAAAATATGCCTCCTTGCCTGACTGGAGCAGACAGCCTGGGCCAAGGCTAATCCACCACCCTGTGTGTGAATGGAGGGGAGGAGGGGGGACTTGTGAGAGAAGTGCAAGACATTCTGGGATGCTGGAGGATTGTGAGTTAACTTGAATCTTGAGAGGATCTGGGACACAAATTCAAGAAACTGATTTAACCTATATCAGTTTAGTCTGATACTACATCCATCCAGGTTCATCTTAAAGCAGTTTGGCCATATTGAAAGTGGTTTATGTACACTGAACTTATGTTGTGTTGCATATTTGAACTTGCCCTGGAAAAACATCAGCCACTAGGTAAGGGGCTGAGTGACCTGGTGCATTTGGTAATGATAGAGTCTGTTGGCAGAGACTGAGACTGTGGCCGTTCTTTATCCAGCTCTTGGGCCTTGGTCTCTGTATAAATAAGTGGTATAAATAGTAGTGCAATTGGGGAGCTTGATTTATTCCTCCTCATGGATCTGTAAGAAGAGGGCTGGCTATGACATAAGGCAGAAAGGTCCTCTTTTGGATCAGCATGGCCAAGGTCTCCCATCAATCAGGTATTGCTCTGGCCCATTGCCAACTTTACCTGTGTAAGGTCATTGTCCCATGAAGGTTTCCTACGTTGACTCTGAGGTTGCTTGCAAATCACAGCAGGAAAGTCTCTGTGTTGGAGAAAATGCATTTATTGGCAAAAATGTTGAGGAAAACAAAAATCCTCAAACAAATAACAGTGCTAAAGAATGATGCCTTATATCGGGCTCTGGTGCTCAATATCTGTTGCTCAGTGTGGTTGCATTTTAAATTCATAATTAGTGTCAGTGCTAGTTCCTTTGTTTGTACTAATATTTGCAGTGCCTGACTGCTTGCTGCTACTATTTTGGTGAAAGATGTAGGTTTATCCATAGAGGAATGGTGGGATTTTTAATTTCCCTTTCTCTCTGCTTAGAATTGTGTATACTGTCCACTTGTCCTTTCCTTTCACCTTTACCAATGTAATACTGAGTTGAATCTGTGATAGATTATCTGGCACTGAAGAAGCCAAAACCACAGCTAGTACTGCAGCCAGTATTTTTATACAGATTATTGTATCCCATCCCAAATAAAAGAAGAAATCTTATTCAAGGAACACTTCTGCTCTGTGTGCAAGCTCTGAAATCTTAACTCAACTCAGTTTTTACAGAGTAATTAGGCTAAACTATTGAAACCAAGACATTAAGCATTGAGGTGAATCCAATTTTTGCTTAAGGGTTGAGGAAAACAAAAGGAGTTGGCCAAAAGGGTCAGGTTTTTTAAAAAGTATTTAGGAGTCTAAAGATACAGCTGACTACTAGAGGCATTTTCAAAATCACTTAGGATGAGATTCTAGCCTAACTATTAGCATGTAAGTAGGCTTAGGTGTCTACCTGCTTGAATCCATGGAAAACAGTAAATGAAAAAGGTAAGTGGGTCCTTCCTTATCCTTACTGCTTTTTTTTTCACTGAATCTTAAGGGGCAGGTGATGGAATGTTACAAAAGTAGATGCATTAATAAACTTTCAGGACTTGAACAGGGTGGAATAGAATAACATTAAGGGACTTCTTATGGGAGGTGGAATAGAATCTAGCTCTACTAGTCACTTACCTCCATTGAAATCATAGGAACTAATAATCGCAGGTTGGCTTTCCTTTTTTTTCACAGCACAGTGTGGTTTGAATTAGAGGAAAAGGGTAATTATAGTACTTCTGGGCCATCAATAGTTGTACTTCTGTCTGTTCTGTCAATGTGATTGAGATGGCTCTGAAAACAAAACAGTTTCTTCCCATTTTCAATCATTTGATCAGTCATCATCATCAAGACAAAATCCTTGAATGCCACACAGTGGTCTCTAAGTCCTTAAAACAGACTATTGGATCTTCAATCTTTGTCCATCTTTGGAAACCACTGGATTTCATTTAGTGAGGGGCCTTCAAAGAATGGTCCCTTTAGTGCACCATTGAAGCCTTTAGTGATCCAGCCTTCCTTTTTAACTCCTTTTATTAGGATAAAAAGTTTGGGTTTTTAATCCTAATAAATATGCCCACATCAAGAAAGCCACCAAAACGAAACTAGTACTAATAAGGCAGTTGGCTAGTTTCATCTACAAATATTCTCACTGCTGATCTTAACTTGCAACTTAATGCAGAGCAGCTGATGAAGGTGACATGAGTTAAATTGTTTATTCACTGCTCTCCTTCATTTATTTCTACTTAAATGATATGTTAGAGAACCTGTCTGGCTCTATAACAGCCCTTCAGTTCCCTTGTCAAGGCCTCTTGTTTGCTTTCATTTGAGATGAAAAATTCTATTTTTTGTAGTACTTATAGAAATGTTCACATACTATATCACACTCCAATACAATTTGTAAAAAAAAAATACAATTTGGAGGTTTTATCATAAAGAACTCTTTGTAAATATGAATTGATCAGACTGAGTTTTTGTACATAGTATTTATTCATGCCTCTTTAAGAAGATTAAGAATATGTTTAAGAGTGTGATGATTTCATGAACTGGACAAGCATTTTTTTAACAGAAAAAATAGCAATGCAAACATTTGTCACTCTATCATTAATTCAGCCCTTCATTTTTCAATTTCTGTTCTACAAACAAAATGCCTGCAGTCCACACTGATAAAAGAACTCTTGCTCCATGATGATGGGGGCCTTCTTGCCACCTACTCCACCCCTGCTCTCGGAGCAAACACCACACATTTAATAAAACCTTGCTTTCCTTCCCTCCTGCACGTCAGGATATACTTTCTTCCTTATGCATATACATGCAAATACAGGGTTTTGATCTTGATTGTATCCCATTCCTCTCCCCTCAGGCTTTCTCAATCACTGTTTTAATACTTCAGCATACAAATTATTACTGTCTCTTTTTTTTAAAGGGAAATGAGAGAGACAACCTAATGTCTAAACAAAAGAGAAAATGGGGGAAAGGAGGAGAGGAGACATCTGCTTTTGACTCTTCCCTCTTGAAAGGGAAAATAGGCAGACAAGCATTTTTCATCATATATTTTTGTTTAAGGAGGGTTTAGGAAATGCCCCAAAGTCCCTAAGGCACTTCTCTGGCTGTGCCACACACCAGGGCTAATGCATTCATATATTACAGGTAGATCAGACACTGTTACAAACCAGCAAAATATTAGAAGGCAGCAGAATATTTGGAGTCTAATTATTTGCTGGACTTGGGGGGGAGGAGTGCGTGCGCGCCCGGGCCCTGCCAGCCGGCGGACCCCTCTACCAGCCCAGGTCGCTTCCCTTAGCCCGCAATTTGGCAGCAGCCCCCGCCCGCCCTGACCCTGCATGGGGATGCACCGCCTCCTCCCTGTCCCGGGGAAGCCCCATGGCCGCACGCCCCGGACTCCTCACACCCCGCGCTCGCTCCGGCCCCTTCGTGAGCAACCCCCCCGCATCGGCGACGAACGCCGTGAGCCTCGCCC